CATGATAATCGAATTTTGATACTTTGACAAATTAGTTGATATTGGAGTCAATTCTGAGGCGAAAGATAGTGAGATCGCTCTTTCAGGCCTGTGAAGATACCAGGAAGCTTATATGATTTTGGGTGGAGCTTGACTGACTGTATTAGCCGCGACTCACACGTACAATGGCCCCAATTGAGAGTCCAATTTACATTAGTTTTAATGGTTGATCAAGTTTTTTTTTTTGGTTTTTTTATACCACGACAGTAGCAAACAAGCATACAGCCCGTCTGATGGTGAACGGTTACTGTAGCCTATGGACGCCTGTAACTACTAGGGATGTCACATGTACGTTACCGACCCAGAGTACGTTTACCGACTCAACCACGCTTATAAATTGGGCTCGACTTATTGTGTATGTTTGGCTTATAGTATATCGGAATGAGATGGAATAATAGCAATGGGAATTTCTTGCCATTATTTTAATTGCCAGCAATATACTCTGTCAAACTGTTCTCCACGCGGTCCCCTATTAAAGCTATCACGGTTAATTCCTCTTGAATTCGTTACGAGCTGACCTCACGTCGTTCTCACCTATCAGTATTACCTCTACTTTAACCTTAGTAAGGTTTAAGAGAAGGCTTATACTGATAGCAAAGACGGAGTTGCCATTTAATTTTGTCTCATTAGAAAACAAAAACTTAAGGCGTGGTAAACCTTTGTACAAAATTGATTTTCTTTGCAATTGAAACCGTAATATACCCTTTTTGAAGAGCCCACACTGTAGTCTCTAGAGAAAACCTGGTCAAGAACCTTATAAATGTGTTATTGGAGAGTATAAATGCAATAAACAAATTATATAATAATAAATATAACTTGTAAACAATGATCACCAATATGTAATATTTTGTCATACATTATTGACAGTTTTAATCAGCTATAATACGTAATCGAACCTTGAAACACTTGACAAATTGGCTGACATAGTCGGACGTGACGTGACGAACATGAAGCGAAAGTGTTGTAGCAGCAAAAAATACATAAAACAAAATATAGCAACGTTCGCGGAAATTAGAGAATGCTGTTACAATGGATAGGATAGCATTACATGTCTTTAAAAATTCTTTTTCAACCGACATCAAAATTTATTCTGTTTTTTTTTCTATATTTTTATAATTATATTACATTCATGAAGACATGGTGTTTTTATATCATTCAAATCTGTACGATCGATTAATTTGTCGCCTATAGAGATGAGCAGTACCATGGACATAACAGAGTATACCGTTTCGCCCATGATGCCCCCCATGCGTTGCCATTCCTGAGGACTCCGGTGTTATTCCTCTGTACCCTGTAAATTCATGTCATGCAAACACAACTGTTTCACGGTAGAAACACGAATAGCCCAAGCAAACGACTTTTGTACAAACTATTATAACAAAATATTTAATTACTATAATGTTTAACAACGAAAATACTGTATTATATTACATTTGTCGCTAAATTTAAAAAAATAAAAATATTTTTACAGTTAGGCAACTTCTGATTTTATCATAAACTGTTTATGAGCCGTTTGTTTTAACAATTTAATAAAGAAACAATGTGGAAACACAATTTATAAATATCTAATAACATAAAAATGCATATCTACAAATTGTTTATTGTATTAATATCGCTACCCAGACCTTGGATCTTAAACAGTTTATTAGGTTATCTAATATCGCTAAATAATTACTTTTTGCAACAAAATTCAATATGGTCTTGAAATTGTTTGTATCTATTTATAATAAATTTACTACTGTAATCTTTTGGAGGGGGGAAAGGGATTGTTAGTAATGGAGTTTGACAGCCTTATTGCTAGCAATATGCGTTATTAGGTCGACCTCCACGTGGTCCCCCCTGGAAACCATCGTGAACAATTCTTGTTGAATTCGTCACGATGGGCTAACTGACCTACTTCATCTTCAGCTATCATCCTTCACTGGTGCCTCGCCCGTGTATACCGATAGCGCGGGTGGGGTTACCATTTCATTATCATCCATTAAAAAAAAACTTTTGAAGGAAACAGTAAAGAGTATCTATTTATCTATGGTACATTTTGTAGGCATCAAAGCAAAGAGATATAATTCAGTTTTTTTTTAATGAATGATAACGGAATGGCAACTCCGATTTCGCTACCGATATACACTGACACAAGTGAGTTCTAGGGAGAACTGCATGGATGATGACCTAATAAGTTTATTGCTAGAAATAGGATAGCTAACAATCCCGTCTTCTCAGTATATTTTGGTTAGATTGAAATCTTGTATGGTTGAAACCTCTTATGATTACAGGGGAAACAAAAATCTGTCTTTCTCTTTTAAAAATCATCCGTAATGTTTAAATACATATATATTTTAATATGTAATTTGTGGAGAATGTTAAAAATAATTCTTTGACTTAATTAATTTAATATAATGTTAATGATTAACATAATAGTTTTTATAAAAATAGCCAATAATATAATTTCAATGTAATGCTCTTTTAAGAAACAATTTTCTTGACCCATCAGCAGTTACTAATAAAGATATCGGCAGTCAATCCGCATCGTTCCATGAAATGAACGGTGACCGTCTGACGGTAGATAACAATCGGTACCTGTTAAACACATTCCGATGCAGGTTATTTTAAATTTTGGCCGGCGATGTGACTCAAATGTATTTATTGCCCGTACTTCATTGGAATGCTGGGCCACCTTATACGACATGACGATTTTTTAAGAGCATAGTGGAAGGAAAAATAGATGGCATAAGAGGAAGAGGAAGACCGAGGAATAACTACATGGGACAGATGAAGGAGACACTGGGTGTCATGTCGTATAGGGAGGGCAAGGATATGGCCTGGGATAGAGCTGGCTAAAAGAAGATGCATGAATTAGTTGCACCGACAAAAGGAAACTCTTAAATGAAAAGAGAGACTTCATTGGAAAAGGCGACAAATGCCAGCAGAACTCGTGTCTTTAAGGTTCTGCACCGTTACCTTATTAATTACGAATATCCTGATCATCAGCTGAAACTAAAAGCCAAAACCTTAGGTAATGTGAATAAAAACATATTAAACAAATTTTTTATAATTAGGATAAAAGTGGGAAGATGATGATGATGATTATGATCATCATCATCATCAGCCAACTGGAATCGACTGCTGGATATAGGACTCTCCCAAATTGCTCTAATTTGTACAGTCCTATGCTTTACGCATACAATCGTTTCCAGCAATTTTGCGCAAATCGTCGCATGTCTATATGTGTAGATTTTGCTACGCAGCAAGCAGGTTTTTGCTCAAATAAAGAAACTGTAACCGAAGAAAAAATAATTATAATCATCGGTTTAGAATCGATTTAATAACATGAATCGACGTCTTTCTTTTAAAAATCGCTAAAAAAATTTATATAATACAAATATTATTTAAATCGTCAATTACATTTCTAATTCCTTTTTAACAAGTAGATAAACATAACAATTATGCAATGTTAAGATTAATTGGACAGTAATCTCGAGCTATCTAAGCAGGCATTCGACTTGTAACAACGCGGTAACAACCTAGGTAATTATTAGCCCTAATTGTAAATATCAAACTTAAAGATGTAACAAAAGGGTCGATTCTGAAATGACATTATGATTCTAAACCGATCTCTAAAATTAAAATTTCAATTTGATCAGCAAAATCTTTATTGTAAGAACCAATATGAACTAACCCCATACAGCAAAAAGAGGGCAAAGGAATGTCAAATTGCGACAAGAAGCATTTGGCGCCCTAGTGTTTCTGCTTATCCTAACGGGAGATAGGCGTGATAAATATGCAATATGAACTAATTTTCTAACAGATTTATGTCTATAATTTTAGTTTATGATAGACCATGGTCTAATAATTTCGCGAAATTATCAACTTAAAATATTAAGAGATAATGGCGAGAATGGCGACATAGAATTGGCCCCAATATCTCAGTTTCCATTTTCAAATTAATCTGTCACGTTGTGTTTATGAACTCTCTATACATTATTTACATTGCTCTTTACGTAATTGTTATACAATGTTAAATTATAAGGATGTGGAAGGAGTTGTCACGATGCTAGTGTAATAGAATTTACTCCGGGATCCTCTTTGCCACTCTCCTAAGAGCATGTAGAGATCACGATCACGATGTTGGATCTTCGAGCTAGATATGTTACCCACTTCACCTTGTTGGTCCTTTAGACTTCGGACTATTAGTCACTTTAACTTAACAAATAGATACTCTAATTTCAAATGCTATTGAAACAAATACCAATTTTTTCACTAGAAACGTCATATCAACTCTGACATTTTTACTTACAATAATGACAAAAAAATAATCACTCAACTTTAAGTATTTATTTACTTAGAATGAATGTCTTATAATAAAAAAGAGGCAATGTGTAAACCCACTAACATAATAAACGTATTAATTAAGTTTATGACGGCAAAATCAGTTGCATTAGATTAAGAAATTACTCATACTGGAGAAAAAAAACCACTGTTAAACGCAGCACTAATAACACGAACGGGACAGAAGCGAGGCGAACATACTAAGAAGTGATATCTCCATTTTCTAAAATATAGAGTTGCTTTGTAATATTGTGTATTTATCAGATATACAAGTATTTATCGTTATCATCAACTTTCATCTTTAAATGAGACTAATTAAATGTCAGATAACGTTTTGATAACAGCTACCGAAATAAAATGTTGCAGTCAGTCTAATTAGACCATCTTTAGAAAGTTTAATCTGTTTATATGTCATAAAAAAGTCTTACACGCAGACTTGTACTTCAGTGTCACTCTTGTAAAACCCAATTTTGGTAATTTAAAAAACCGTGTTGATACAATATGTACTGCGATACGAATCTGTAAAACTGTCAATAGAGTCATAAGGAATAAATGTAGGTGTATCTGTAAAATTTTGTAGATATTATAAATTACTTCGAGCTTTACAAATATCGGACTTAGTTGTTCTAACAAACCTTTTTGGTTTCCATCTTCGAATAAATACTCCAAACATGTTGGATGGGAAGCAGCTATATCCACATCACTAGTTCACATCCACTATTCTCTACAAACACTCAACCTGTTCACAGCACTGTATAATCTTCAATCTTCATGTACTGAACACTACTAAAAACAACGTTCCATATTCAGAAAATATTCCAAATTTAAATCAACCACATACGCGGCACATAAACAAACATATTCAAATTCAGAACAAAAGTGGCAAAATACAACTTTTCCTACGCATTTAAAAATAGAACACCAACACCGTAAACTAAACGTGAGCTGTCATTCAATTTTTTAATTAGCAACCGGAATGGACTCGGGCAAAAGAATTATTTTTAAAGCACGCAACACACGCGCGTTCCGAGCAGGCGATGCACGGCGACTGGCTGGCTCCCAGTTGCAATGCAATATGCAGCTGGTGCGTGTGTATCCCGGTTGCTTAGTATTAATAAATTTTAGATGTCAACCGCTTTGCATGGTGGCCGGTTGATCTTGCTAGTTCAGCTAAATGGATTTGCCTTACGCATTCGATTCGGTGTTGAAATTGTTCAATGTATGACATGATAAGGTATATCGTATCAACGACCTCAATTTAATTAAAAAAATACCTACTTAATTACTTTTAAATTTATCTGTTTAATATTATGTTTAAAAATAGATATATTAATACCTAATAGAATTTTGACAAACCAACAATAGACGAAGACGTCAACTTAATTAACATCAGACCAATGCCAAATGTAACGGCTGATTTCTTAGGATCGGCCTTTATCAGCAACATTACTAAATAAGACGTCTTATAAAAATAAATAAATTAGTATCCTTTATTTGTATTAACAATATAGAAAATAAAACAAACAATTGATAAATGTAAAATTACAATTGTATAAATATAAATATATTGTATGTATAATTGTATCGCCGTGTAGGTCCGGCCTTAGATTATATAGATAGAGCATCGAGTCCCCAAAAACGGGTCAACTTTTTGTCAGCTATATGTCAAATTAGCTGACTTATTTTTTACCAATGTTCTATATACTTACACACACAATGCATCTTGACGTATCTATATTTAATTATTCAATGAATAAAATGTGTTTTTACGTATTAAAAAGATGTAAATACTATAAAACAAAATAAATACAAAAATTATAAAGGAATCAGTCATAACTATTTATCACGCAAAATTGTATGAAAAAGTTGACCCGCTTTTCTCGAAGCATTTGTATGGAGACACTCTATCTATATAATTTAACGTCCCGGCATAGAATGGACCACCATTTCCTTTCCCGTGACTATCGTAGGAGGACTATTGGAGGAGGGATGAGCAGCAGCGCCCCACTTAATACATCTGGTAAAAGCCATACTGCGGTTGCCAACCCGCCTGCCAAACGTGGCAACTACTGGCAAAACTCCCCTTATGGGGAAGGCAGTTCAACAGTGAATAGTTAACTGCTAAAATAAATAAGTACAATAAGGCAGTCTTAGTATTAAGAGCAATCTAGTTTAATAATCGTAAGAGCAATAAAAAAAATTTAATAAGTCCTCTTTTTGTCTATGGTATAAATAACAAACCGTTCCGTTATTACTGTGTTGTGTTACGCAATGATGCATATGAGCAATTTTTTGATCGCAGCCAATGTCGCCGACTTCGGCTAGTTTACCAGATTTTTTTTATGCAAACGTAATTACTTACATACATTATGTATGAAGTCAGAGATTCTTTTACGCGTACACACGTACATGTTACCGTCTATTATTTCTCTGTTGAAGAGAAACTCATTAGTAACCATGCGTTCATACATACGATGAATAAAATTAAAGAAACGTTGAACATTTTTTTTATACAACTGTAGAATGGCAAACAAGCTGACGGCTCACCTGATGGAAAGTGGTAACCGTCGCCTATAGACATGAGCAGTACCATGGACATAACAGAGTATACTGTTTTGCCCATGATACCCCCATGCGTTGCCATTCCTGAGGACTCAGGTTTTATTCCTCTGTACCCAATAAATTCACTCCATATCCCACCCTTCAAACCGAAATACAGCCATGCAAACACAACTGCTTCACGGTTGAAACACGAATGGGACAGAGGTACCCAAGCAATCGACTATTGTACAAAGTCACAAAAACGATTTTATTTTTCCATAGTAAGATAATTTTAGAAACTTTTTAAAAAGACATGCCAAGATTGTCTATTAATAAATAAATATTAAATACTATTAGACATTATAACCGCCATCTAGTCTCAAACTAAGCAGAACTTGTAGTATGACTTCTACATAACCGAAAGACAATTGATAGATCATAAACAAATAGAATAGTAGACCAATCATAAACAATATTAAAAAAAAAAAGACTACCAAAGACAATCTTAAATGTCACTTCAATCCCAACGTATTGAGAACAAATCATAGAAACGTCAATAGCAATGCCCAATAAAACGTGAAATATTTACACTCGGTCGACCGAATTTTCTATAAAATAAGAGAGACCTATTGAGACCCTTCCCACCCTTCAAGTATTCGAACAGATGAGCCCCGCGACCTACTTCTTGTTGTAACGTTTGCAGGATTATCAGATATCCCTCGGGCAACCAACTTCGTCCGACCCATTTTTTTTTCTACATTCGCCCAAATCCGTTACGAATACAAAATTATGTTATCAGAAAATTACAGTGTTTTTGTATCTCTGCTGTTATCTTCATCGTTTACATGTTTATGTAGTTTATTTTAGTAGAAATGAATGGAAATAAAACCAACATTTTCACATATTTTTGATTGTTGAAACTGTTCAAAATGAACCTTTTTTTACATATACTGACAATTATAGTTTTTTTTATAAAAAAGAATATTTAAAAACAATTGAAAAAAAAAAACAAAATATACATACAATACTTCAAGTCAATTTTACTTACAATAATATAATTAATAAATAATATATACATAACAAGAACCAGCATATTTTACAAACATAATTAGTGGTCCTTCGAGCCGGATATTAACCAGCGACCTATGGATAAATATATACATACACTGACAATTATTCTTTTTTTTATAAAAAAAACTATAATTGTCAGTAAATGTAAAAAAAAAGGTTCATTTTGAACAGAAACTATAACAGAAATACTCAAAGTGGAAACAATAAATTTTTATTTGTGCTACCATAGACCCATAGATATTGATAGTGTCTCCATAGAAATGGTACGAGAAAAGTGCGTCAAGTTTTTTATAGAATTTTGCATGATAAATAGTTATGAGTGATTCCTCTATAACTTTTATATATATTTTGTCTTATAATTCTTTTCTATACAACTTAGAATGGCAAACAAGCTGACGGCCCACCCGATGGAAAGTGGTAACCGTCGCCTATAGGCTAACTGATCTATTTTATCCTCACCTATCATCTCTCACTGGTGCCTCTCCAGTGTATACCGATAGCGCGGGCAGGGTTATAATTCCATTATTAATCGTCTAAAACATTTGATTTGTAATATAGTGTTTTTTTTTTATATACTACAAAGGTGGCATAAAAACATACAGCCTGTCTAATGATAAACGGGTTCTTGTGACAGTTCAACAAAATATGGTCAACTTTTCTTTGAAAATTTGAAACTGAAACAAACTAAGCGTTTTTTGTTTTGCATAAAGCAAGATTAGATACGCAAAATAATTCCAGTTGGCGTATCTATTTAAATTATATGTCAGCGACTTCTACAACAAACATGAGAACAAATCAAAGTCCACTTAAACGCGAGCACACTTACCTAATGTCAGACTTATTCAAAAGTATTCGAACAAACTCGGCGAGAAAGACGCCAAAGCCTTTACTCCCGATGCTATTGAATATTGAATAAAACCTCGGTTTGCCAGAACTATTCCCTGAACTGTATTCGGAACGTTCCCGTTGGGGCTCGAATACGTAATGCGGATACGATCGTGATCCTAAGTGAAAAATTGGAGATTCCACTTACCCAAAGAATAAGCTCCTCTAACCTCGAATTTATTCCGCATCGAGATTTGAAGATATCGGCTTACCTGCAGCAAAAAAAAAATGTCTGAATAGAATGGAATAAAAGCTTACTAATTTAATAAAATCTTAGCAAGAAGATGCCCGTGCATAGGAGATATTTAGAAGAAATTGATTCGAGGAATCCTAATGAAACCAATAAAAGACCAAACATTTATTTAAAGAAATTTTGTATGTCTACCTTGTTGGAGTTTTAATACTGGCTGTTGACACTGAGGTCTTTTAGAACAATGTAAAAATTTTATGTTTGTTCTATGTCAGATTTTTATAAGACATGTCTCGTATTTTTTTCACTAAACTTATTATTTTATATCTTAAATACATATATGTTTTATTACTGCATCCTGCTATTTACAACATACCTATATATGTTTATTCCAATATCACGAAAATCTAAATAAGACCAATAGAAGTAAAAACTTCCATTTTTAGAAATCCTATCTGTCTGTATATTTGTTCCGTTATCATACAAAAACTATTCACACCAAATTGGATAAAGTTTTCGCGATTATGTTTTCGAAGATCTAACTTAATATCTCATGTATCTATGTATCAAATCAATCGGTGCCTAAATGTTAGAACTCTCAGGTAACTAATATAAAGATATATAACCGAAATGAGATCAACGGATTTTAAAAATCAATAAATGATGGAGAAAGACATTGTCGATCGGTATCTACTTGTTAAACATCATCATCATAGTATCCTATGTTCTATGTCCACTGCTGGACACAGGACTTCCTATTGGAAGGTTTGCCAATAGTACCCACACTTAGCAAGCGAGTTGACAACCGCAGTTTGGCTTTGGTGGTGTTTTGAGGGGGATGCTTCTGCCTGTCCTTCGGCCATTAAATTTCTTTAGTCGCCCTTAACGACACCCACAGAAAAGAAAGGGGTTACCCATTCTATGCCGGGACCACATGCCTAACCACTTGTTCAAAGAAGATATTAACGATTTTCTACTTCGATCATTATGTCTGTCAAAGAATTCTTCGCTTCGCAGTGTATAATTTGCTGCTGACTGCAATCATTGCATACGTAACCCAACATTAATGTAGTAGTTCCCCGAGGACAATGTCTAGAATGCAGCGAACAACCTATAGTTATCATACCACTGTGGAACTGTGCATAGGAGAAAATAGTGGGATATGATAATGCCGTAACAACAGCCTCGATACATGTCGAGTTTCGTATTGACTCGTCTTCGACCGATTTCAAAAAAGGAAAAGGAGAGAACTCTGTCATTTATAAACCGATTTGGAAAATTGTATTTTTATCTAACAGGAAATGAAGCATGCATTTTTAGAATTTTTTACTTTTTTAGTCTTTATGCGTAGGTAAATACCCTTTATTATGATTACTGTATTATGATATAGTACTATCTTACTAATATATTATAGTAATATTGTAACTATACGATGTCTCGACTTCGGACATATTTTTTGAAAAATTCATGCGCGGTGTCTTAATAAGATCAACAGATATCAAAAGTAATATTCAGAATAATTGTCTGATCTTCCGTAGTTAGGAAATGTATTTTTTATATAGAAATTTTAGTTTGAAGTTAGGTACTAGATGGCGTTGTTAATAA